AAGGCCACATGTGGCCTCGAGGCAGAAGATTCCTCACCCCTATACTAAATAGTGGAAATATAGAGACAATGATGGAGAGTTCCTGCCTCCAAGGAGCTTGAGGTATATAAGCTATACACAGATATAGGTAAGTCAATACCATATGATATAAAACTATAGTAATATAAATATAAGAATAATAATAATAGCTTACATTTACATAGCACCTACTATGTGCCAGGCACTGTATCTCATTTTGATCTTCATAACAACCCTGGGGAGTAAGTGCTATTATCACCCCCATTTTACATTTGAAGAAACTGAGGGAAACAGATTAAATGATTGCCTGGGTTCACTCAGTTAATGTGTCTGGGGCTGGATTTGAAGTCTTCCTGACTTCAGCTCTATCCACTGTGACACCTAACTGCCTCTATAATTTGACTTAAGGAGGGAGAGAACATTAATTACTGGGTCAATCAGGAAAGACCTTACTGAGAAGATGTCTGCGAGGAGATGGTGTTTTCAGACTGAGCTGAGTTTGAAAGGAATATTAGAATCCTAACAGAAGGAATAGAGGAGAAAATGAATTCCAGCTGTGGGAGACCATTTGTACAATTACAAAGATGTAGGAGATGCCCAGGGTCACCCAGTTAATGTGTTAAAGGCTGGATTTGAACTCAGGTCTTCTGATGTCAGCTCTATCTGTTGTGCCACCTAGCTGTCTCTGTAATTTGATTTAAGGATTGTGTTTTTTTGAGTCGATGGGAAGCTGCCTTCAGGTTTTTGAGGCAGAGAAGTAACACAAGCTGACTTTTTCCTTAGGAAAATTATTTAGATAGGAATGGGTAAGATATCTTGGAGAGGGGTGGCAGGAAACCCTGACATCAAATTAGGCTATTAGAGTAGTCAGGCAAGAGGTGGTAAAGGTCTTCAACTAAGGTGGTGGCCATTCGGGTGGAGAGGAGGACTGAGACAGGTAGTAGAATTGTTGTAGAGATGGAATTGATAAGACTGGACAATTGATTGGATGTGGGGAATGAGGGAGGGTGAAGAGACCGGGATGGCTCTGGGGTTAAAAACCTGGGTAACTGGATCATGGTGCTCACAACAGGAATAAAGATGTTTGGAAGAGTGGGTTTATGAGGGAAGATGATGAGTCCCCTTTTGGACATGTGGAGTTTGGGATGCTAACAGGGTAGCCAAGTGAAGGTGTGCAGGAGAGACATTGGGGTGGAGATATGTGTGTGTGTGTGTGTGTGTGTGTGTGTGTGTGTGTGTGTGTGTGT